GCAGTCTCCTAGTGTTGTCATTTAATAATAGAAAATAATTGCAAAAAGAAATGGAAAATTAATTTTCGATTTATAATTGGAATTAGTTTAATGGCACAGAAAGAGTTATTTTTCCAGAATATTTAATAAAAAATTAACCTATTTAACTAATTTTACAGGAAATGTGAGATATGTTTGCAAACTTATTGTTTACCGCTTTACCCTAAATACTTATACATATTCAACCTCTTTGGTACTAAAAGAATGCATAATATGTTGCCAATGATTTGGAACTGGCCATGGACACGACGCCTTATAAAAATGTAAAAAGATTTGCCGATGAAAAGAAGCGACAGTGTAAAAGTTGGATTAGTTAAGTCTGACATTCGATGATGTAAGCAGTATTGTAAAAATTGAATTAGGACATATTTAGTCACATAAATAAATAATTGTTTTGTTATAATAATAAATAGAAGCAATAATAACATTGCTGACAGATATACATACGTCCGAGCCCCTCGTTGGGGACGTATAGTGAGCTGATGATGATGATGATGATATATGTATCATCATCGTTTTATTATGATTTTTTTTAAGTGACAATTTTTATTATTTCAATGTTCAATTAAAAATTAATTAATTATTAAATTAAAATAACGCAAAATTTTGTCGAATTGTAATTTAGTTGATAAATTTTCCACGACCTTTAGTTAACGTAAAACAAAATTACTTCTAAACTTCCAAATGACGAACTTCCAGTTACAAGTTTGAAAACAAGGCTAAAACTTCATAAAGTAAAACTGAGTGATTAAAAGTAATTTAACTTTTACTCTACTTTGGTTTTAAATTTATTAGTTCTGATAATTAATATATCAATTAATGTATTTTAAGTCTAATAACTACGATATTTTTTGGTCTTTAAATGTAAGTATTTCTTGATATTATTCTTATTTATTAGTTTTATGCCTAGATTCTAAGATATTATAACAAATAATCATGAAAAAAATATTGCTATTTAATTTTGCAGGCGTCGCTTTTTGTACGAAAAAATTACAACTATTTAATTGTAACGATTTAAAAAATATTATGGGACATCAGTTACACTTCATTTTAAAAATTGTTTCCTATATAATCTTTATATATGTTCATACACCGCAGGGAATCTAATAAAAGTATAATATCACTCAACTTCCGTGGATCTCAACAATTGCTCATGAATTTTGATGAAGCATTTCCTTTGAGACGTTTAAAGTCACACAGTTCCTTAATAGCACACTTTGCGGAGAAAGTTCAAATAAATGTTTTGATGAGGCGCGATACCCTTTAAGAAAATAAATTGTGTTCATAATCAGATCAGAATATGATATTTCAAAACTTCTCTTTCGTTGTTTCCTTGGTTCTATATTAAAGCAACAGAGTTCCGACATCGACATAATTTTGATGATTTTCACATATTATTATAAAATTTACACGTAATTTCCTTTTTCATTCAACTGAATTAAGAAAATGTCATGTCATAACTATACCGTTAAGACTTAGGACACATCAAGGAAAGAACGTTCAACTACTTAAAGATTTTTTTTTAGTTCCTTAAATTTTATGGTATTTTAGAAAGGAGTATTTTTTATATGAGAAGACATCGCCATATCTTGCAATAGCCATATACTATAGACAAAAGAAATACTGGATAATTTACAAACTTATTTAGAGCTTAGCGTCGATTGCTAATTTTATTCCTTCGCTTATTCTTAGAAAGCTTAAGCGAATTAAAACTTTAAGTATCTTACTAATGGCATTTATTATCTGTCCTGTAATATTCTTGCAACGACTGCTTTAATGAATCGGAAGATTATTTTCAAATAAAATAAGGACTGTTAATTTTGGATACTTCGTTTACTTGAATGACGTGTAATTAGTTCTATTGAATGTTGAAATCTTGTTTAATAGCCAACATAATAAAAAAATCCCTATATCCCATTGTTGGATTCACGTAAAATTGAAACCCAAAATACGACATTTCTCGATTCAACACGCTTCAATCTCGGTCTAGTCCTGTCACACGATGCAAGGAACAAAAGGAATTGAAATGTCGGCGTAACTACCTTTGTACTGACAAAACTATAATTGAAGTTAAAGTAGCCCTTTAGTCATATTCATAAGGTTCAATTTCGTACGATTGAATTGAATTTGAAATGTAGGTATACCGAAAACGCTCAGTGCTTTACAATCAATGTCCAATAGAGGTATCGCTGTTCACACGAACTTCCGTGTGTCTCTGATCGCTTTTCATGTAATTGCTATTTGAAATGGTCTTCTCAATTTCATGTATCCTTGCTTCGTGTGAAGCATGTTTGTTCTTTTTGAGTGTAGCTTATAGTTTTCACAGCCCAAATGTATTTACAAAAAGCCGATTATTCGAATTAATTGGGACCGGGACCGATTTGGATAAAATTCAGATAATCAGACATAGACTGGTAATAAAAAAAAACTAAATGACACTTTTTTATAAAAGTTTCCTTAATAAAGTTTATTCTATTTGATATTCAGGCCTTAACAAAAATATAAAGTATATAAATAAATTGGTTTTAATCTTTCTATATATCTTTATATATATAATTCTTATATATGTCACTGAACTTCTCTCAAACGACTGGACCGATTTTGATGAAATTTTTTGTGTGTGTTCAAGGGGATCTGGGAACGGTTTAGATTCACAATTTTCATCAAATATTACCTTCATATTAATTTATTCAAATTAAAGACGTGTAGACAGGACAACGTCTGTCGGGTCCGCTATATTATATATCATACTAGTATTACAAATTCTCATTGAAATTTGGCATAGATGTAAAACATAGTTTGGAAGAACACATAGGTTACTTATTAAGTTAGTTTTTAATTCCGCGCGAACGGAGTCGCGGTTGACAGTTAGTTTTTTATATCACGCTTAAGACCGGTTCGGATAATCGGCGTTCCAGTGTAATTTTAAAAAAAAACAATTGATACTTCTACAAAATTGCTCAAGTGTTTTCGTCAGCTTTATAAGCCACGATAAAATTAACCTAGGTACCAATATACGTATTAGTATTAATTTAAAAACAAATTAAATTCAGAAATTTCCTTATAAAAGTGTCACAGCAAACAAACTCAGTTAAAAGTTTGCCGTTGAGATTAACCTTTATAATTAACTTCTGACGGATCTTTTCAAGCGAAATAGCTGTTAAAATAATGATTAGAGACGAACTGAAACTCGACCGAAACAAAACAGTTACAAACGAACTGTCAGACAAAAGTTTGGTATAATTTTGACTCGAAACATTTACAATATAAATAAATCAAAACAAACAATTATTTTGAAGACTTCAATGAATTAATTGCTTAATAATTATTAAAAATAAATAAACATTCACAGTACGTGTCAAACGTTATGACAGAATGTAAATTGTGATATTATGTCAATACATGTCGTAAAGTATCGTATCGCGATATTAATTTATTTGTTATATGTATCGACCTGACGAATGTTTTTTTTTATATCATAAGGTGGCAAACGAGCGAGCAGCCACTTGAAATCGCTGAAATTGCGAAGTGACCGTTGCCCATAGACATACGCAATTGCATATGCGTTGCCTACTTTTAATCGAGGAAGGAGAGGATGCACAGAAAGAAAATATTTTCCCTTCCCATGCATCCCCTCTTCCGGAAAGTCCACTTCCATTTCCTATCCTTTCCTTATAAGAAAAAGGGTGGGAAGGGAAAGAGGACTAAATTAGGCCTCCGGGACGCAATATTAAAATTGACTCCGAGAGTCCTGTGAGAAGGAGACTTTAAGAGACTGCTTTACAGTATGGTAATTCAGACAGGTATGCAGGGATTTTAATTTTATCACTAAACTAACTATTGACCGCAAGAACTTTATCATCTTACTAATATTATAAATGCGAATGTTTGGATGAACGGATGGATGTTTTTTTAAACGTATTTCCACAACAGCTTCATGTATCTCCATGAAATTTAGCATAGGGTATAACAGTCTAGAAAAACACATAGGATAATAATTTTTTTTATTCCGCGCGTACGGAGTAGCTTGCAACAGCTAACTTATTTAAGTAAATAAATATTTTATTCAGATAAAAAAAAAACTATTTATGGAATTCTTGTGACAAATCACTTGAGTACGGATCGGATTTCCGAATTCCGTTTCACGAATAATCACGTGTCTACGGAAAACTTTTCAAAATGTGTGATAACTTTGTAGTCTTTTTTTCATATTTAACAAATAGAAACGTAAAGATAGGATGACTACTGACATGTCAGGAAACGACAACGGATAAAATATTTAAAGTCGTTAATTTTATTATATTACAATCTATAATAGAGGTTATTGTGTTAAAATATCATTTTCTAAGAGACGAAAGAAGTTAAACATTACTACGACATTAAAATTCATGACCTGGAATTGATGTCCTTGACCTCTGAGAACAGTACAAACAGTCTATAGAATATTAAGCCGCATTTTAAACGCAGCCTACAAAATTAAAATGGAATAAATATTTTAAATATAAACTAGCTATTGTTAGAAAGAAAATCCGAAATCGCCGGTGTATCGGTGCAACACTAGCTTTATAAAAATATCAACGTTCATGTCCCCTCAATAATGAATCTGACACTGGACTTGGTAACGAAAATGGGCCATTCGCTTTAAATGATTCTAACTAATAATGTCTAAAAGTATTATCATCCAAACAATAAAGGATTTAATAATTATTTCAAATATAAATAGTATTTTATAAAATACATATTTGAATGCTAATTGAATCAACTTGGGCAAATCGATCGGACAATCTTACTAATATTATTTGTGTATGCGAATGTTTGAATGGATGTAGGTTCTTTACTATCTTGAGGTATCTTGAGAACGTCTCAACGGAATTCGATGAAATTTGGTAGGCATGTAGAAAATAATCTGTAAAGGACATAGTCTAATAATTAAGATTTTTTTAATACTGCTCGGATAAAAGCTAGCACTACATAAACGCAAAAATATGGCTTTTGACTGCTGTAAAATAAACACTAAACTAAATTAAGAAAATTTATTAAATATTTCTTGAAAAACAGCCATCTTATTTGTTTCATAATCCAATTTAATATTCAATTTCTTATCGATATTTAAATATGTTGGGAATTCTTCAGAGAATAACGGCCAAGTTAGTGGAATATCAGTTGTAGGTAAAATTGGATTACTGAAAAAAAAGGAATTAATTGTTTCTAATGTATTATAAAAAGACTAGCGGACCCGACAGACGTTGTCTGACAATTTGACACTGCGATGGTAGCGCCGTCTGTCGGATCCAATGTAAAACATTCCAAAACCACCAACTACTAATAAATTAAAAATTAATTAAAAAAACATTGTCCAGCGGACAAAATTGTGAATCTAAACCATTCCCAGATCCCCTTGAACAAACACAAAAAAATTCATCAAAATCGGTCCAGTCGTTTGAGAGAAGTTCAGTGACATACACACTCACAGAAGAATTATATATATAAAGATAGTATTCGTGGCCAACTATTTACCTGCATTTTGCAAAGTTTGTCCAAAATTTTGTCATTCTTTTTATCATTAACTTGTCAGTTTCATCGATGTTTTCTATCAACTGATTAAATTGATTGGGAAACAGATACGAACAATCGTCACACTGCCCTGCTCCATTAATATTTAATTTTAATATTTGACTTATATTTAATTCCCCCAAATAAGAGAATTCATAAACGTATATCGGAATGCCAAATTTTGCCATCAATTTTGCTGAAATCCATACTCCTGATGTAAAATCTAAATCGCTTAGGAAATTTATTGCTTGTTCAAATTTATTATGTTCTAATGCTTTGTCGTCAAAATAAACTTTTTGAAGAATATCTTTACAATTTTCATGATCATTAAAATTAAAACTACAAGGAATGTATTCAGTAATTTCCTTAGTTTCCGACAATTCTTTCACAGAATTATTTCCCAACATATTTCTTAATGAAGCTTCTTTACTACAAAATCCTTTAATTAAAGGAATTCTGTTAAATTTCCCTTCCTTGATCATCTTAACTGGATCTCTTGTTAGAAATTGATTCTCATAATCATTTTCAATAATAGGTACAAATCCAAAACTTAATTTCTTTGAATCTATATCTGAGGAAGCTTTAGTATTTGCTAAAATTAGTTCTTCAGCCGAAAGTGACATTAAAAATTCATAAATTTCAAGTTTGTTGGACATATCTACTTCGTAGTTTAAATTCTTTAAAAATATCTCTAATAACTTCATGGGTTCTTTATTTAGTGACCACGCGTTTATTATAGAACCAGATTGTAAAATTGCTTTGTGAAATAATTCTTTAGTTCTCGTTGACAACATAAGATATTCGATAGCAGCTGCACCAGAATTATTACCAAAAACAGTTACGTTATTGCTATCTCCATTGAAATATACAATGTTTTGATTCACCCATTCTAAAGCGATAACTATATCTTTCAAGCCCATATTACCAGCAACTTCAGGTATATCTAATGATAAAAAACCAAACACTCCTAATCTATAATTGATAGTGACTATAACAACATTATTTTCAATCAAATAATCTGGTCCAGTTTCAGTTTTAATAGTGCCATTTCCAGTACAAAAACCACCGCCATGAATATAAATCATTACAGGAAGGATATGATCTGGTATTGATAATTTAGGCGTATATACATTTAAGTATAAACAATCTTCTGATCCAATGATATCGTAAGTTTTGGAATCAAGTTGACAAGCGATATTGGTTTTATTTGCGGTTGAAGCATCTCTTACAATTTCCCATGGTTCTGATGGTTGGGGACTCTGTGAATCAAATCAAAAAGTGTCTATATATCTATAACTAGCCGTTACCCGCGACATGGTCCGCGTGGAATGAGGAAAATAACTTAATAAGCTCTCGGCAATTGTTAGAATTTTTCTCACCTTTTAAACCATCCCTAGACCTTCACAAAAATTTTAAGACCAAGATAAGATAAATCCGTTCAGTCATTCTCGAGTTTTAGCCAGACTAACGAACAGCATTAATTTTTATTTATATAGAAAATAGAAGATTTACAATTTCAATATGCCTAAATATCAACGATTTTCACACAATATAGCGGAAATTTTAACAGCACCTTTGTAACAAAAATTACGTTATAAATAGTTTACTGCATATAGGCGAAACAAATTTTATAATGTCTATTTAAGTTTGTAATTAAGGTTTGTAAAAATTATGATCAACACATTTCTAGGTACATATTTTCAGAGAAAGACTGCAACGACGAAGAAGAAGAATTTTCACAGTATTAAACTTTACCTTAAATCGTAAGTCACCGACTGGAGGCTTGGCATATGGTATTCCTAAAAACTCGTAATATTCAAATCCACTATCTGTTTTAACCTCACCACCTTTTAGTATACCCTGACGAATCGTAATTTGTACCATTGTGCACTCCCAAATTTGAAATTATATCAGTAACTAAATAGAAAATTATACACGTTCAATATCAGCTATCAGTATTATCATGTTGTTTAATTTTTATAATCATTGAGTCATACATTCCATTTGCGTTATGATCAAGTCGGTGGCTCAGGGATTAAGCACTTGGCTTGTAATCTACAGGTCCTAGATTCTTATCCTACCATGTACCAATGTGTTTTTCTATTTCTGATTTACATATGTATATTTATCCGACGTTCTTACGGAAAAGGAAAACATCGTAATGTAACCTTCACTTGTATCCAAAGAAATTCAAATATATGTATGTGTGAAGTCAACCCCAATGTGCCAGCGTGGTTGACTATGGGCTAGTCACTCCTAACTTATGTTAGGCTCCGAGCCCCTCAGTGAAGACGTTTAGTGAGCTAATGATGAAGACAGAAAAGAGGTTAGTGACAGAAAACTTCCAAAAAGGTATACGAGAAGAGTTTTAAAAATAGAATCATGATATTCTTATTCATTTTCATGAGTCATTGACGTTAGAGTTGGTGGAATAAAAAAAGTTTGCACAGGTTAAAAAAGCTGTCGATGATTGTTATTGGGAATGTCTGCACTGCATAAATATATTCGCCACTTGAATAAACAACGTCGGAAATACAATGTCCAATAAATTGCACGAACTATATTTTAAATTAATTTTAAAAAGACTGAAGATAATGAAAATAACGGTTAGATGATTTTAAACATTTGAATTCATTATATTCGGTAAATGGTCTAACCGTTTAATTCCATTGTCTTAAAAAAAAACGACTTCATATAAGGTGAAAATCATTGCCATTGAAAAAATGATACCTTTTATAAGGTGGCAAACGAACGCTGGTTATAGACATTCGTAATCGCATATGCGTTGTCTGCCACTCATCAACGGAATGGGGACGCACAGCAAGAGGATATTTCCTTTCGTATGCGTTCTGCCAACCACCAAATTCACTTCCCTTTCTCATAATCTCTTAAAATCAATGAAATCCTTTATATGTGACTGGAAATTCGATTCTATCCGTAAAGCAAATTTCTACTACATACTGCAAAGTTAAAAATTTCCGAAACAAAACAAAATGAAACAAAGTTTTACAAAATACCCGCAATAAGAGCGTTTAATGCCGGATAATGCGGCCAGTAATGGCGTCAACAACGACTCTTAGGCGACGGATTAAAGTTTGCATATTCAGAATAGCTTAGCCTTTTGTGAGAACTCTTTAGTTTGTTGAAAATTGCTGTTGCGTAAGATTGTATCGGACTTTATCTGAAATTGCGACCCTACTAGTACTCTTTACTTCGTTATATTCGGGATTAATAATTTTTATAGTTTTTATTCTTACAGAAATAAAATATATAAATTCGGAAAAGAAATATTGTTGTTTATTTATATAGAAGAAAATAATTTGCATTTAATGTTCTCTTCTAGTATCAAAAATAAATACCTTGCCTAAAGGGACTCCTTTTATTAACATATTTTAGTTAATTATTCGGTTTTTTTTTTTAAATTTTATTTTATATCATAGATTTAAGAGTTTATGTATTATAAGTATATATATGTATAAGGATGTAAATAATTAATAAAAATGATTGACATTGTTCGCTTTAGTCAGAAGATTAAATTAAAGTTGCAATTAACGAAAAAAATAAATAAATTGAAAACACATTGTCTACTTTATGAGTACTGAACAGAGTATGAAACAGAACAGATTGCCTAAATATAGTAACTAATCTTGAACCCATCAGCTAATCACTCTTTTTTACTTAATCCGACTCGAAGGACCAAAATCTTTATTGATGCTGGTTTTAAAACAGAAATGTTGTAGCAAAACACAATTTAAAAACTACTACTTCAATTTTTTAAAACAAACTGATCGACAAACACTTTATTGGCATCCTATTATGCAATAAAAACATTTATTACGTAAAATGACACATCATTCAGGTGCAGGTGTCATGTAATTTTATATAAGTAATTGCAACTGATATTTCTAAAGCTAACTAATTACATTATGCTTGTCATATCAAGTCTAAAATTGTTTTATTAGCCAAGAAATGTTTGAAATTATTTTAGTTATTATAAATTACAAGTTGAATCTTTATTTCGTTAACGAAAATTAGAATCGCGACAGCTTCTTACCAATCAATGAAATGTATATTTTCGAAAAATTTGAATTTCGAAAGCCAAATTCGCTTTTAATATATTTGAAATTAAATTCTCGATTCACAATGTTAGTTACCACAATCCAAGGAAACGGCTTGACCTATTTTGATGTAATTTTATATGCATATTCAGTAGGTCTGGGAATCGGCTACTGTCTATTTTTTATTACTGTGCGGACGAAGTCACCGGCGACAGCCAGTATGGTGTAAATTGGTAAGCAAAGAAACAGGTCTGGATTTAGGGTAAGTTGTGGTAAAGTATTATAGAAAAGAAAAATACAATGTAAATATAATATTCGCATCAGATTAAAGGTAAAGCTGTAAATTTACCTACATGATGTTGGCCAAGCATACAAGGTGAAAGTAGACATGGTTGGAAAGCTGAGAGTAAAATTATCTTACGGGAATGAGGTTATTATGAAGTATGTGATAAGGTGACAACGTACCTACCTACTATAAGTAGATACAGAGAGGTAAAAAACGCAATTATTCTTACTAATGACAGATTAAAAATAAATTGAAAACAATTCTTCTCGATTTTTTTTCCTAATTTTAGGTAAATTCTAATACATATTTTTCAAATTACTTATAATGCAATACTATCACATTTTATTGGCAACAAGTTCTAATTATAGACACGTGAGCGCTCGCTTATCAATACTGTGCGAGCGAGACTTCCCATTATGGAATAAACGCGTCTCTTTCGAAACGGGAACAACGCGCTGCTCGGACGTCATCGCGTGATATCGTACTCGTTCGGCGATCGTTCCTCAGTACATGCGTCAACTTTCTTCCGTACAGTTCGTTGCGCGCATGCGCGAACTATGTCAAACGTCTGTCTGTAATTTTCACTATTCCTCATAACCTCATCACTCACCTCCATAAATATTTTTTCTATTAAATTCATTTAATTAAATAACGTTAAAAATGGCAACGGAATATACGCTTTTAGAAAAATGCGGAATAGCTTTCCTAGTGGCAATAATATTGTTCGCAATTCATCAATTATGCCGATTAATTTATGTGTGCTACCTGGGTCCACCCATGAAACGTGTGGATTTCTCATCGATGGGCCAATGGGCCGGTGAGTAATTTGTTTATATTTTAATTTAATTAAAATGTTAACCACGTAAGAGTTGAAAGTTATTGAACTTGTGTCACATTGTTGTATTAATTTGATATCGATTTTATATTGATTACGATATGAGTTAGCATCTGTTATTCTGTATTCATATTGTTTTTATTCGTTTTAGAAAATATTTGAATTTATATGTCATGTCATTTCAAAAAAAGTCCCCAGGAGCGCTGCCGCTGTACCTTGCAGAAATTCTCAGTGCACTATTGATTTTTCAGAGAGTTTGACCTTGACCTTCCCGCTTCGAAACGCGTGGAAAAATCATGTTGCTCTCTTGTTTTCCAAAGAGAAATCACAGTGATATTAACATGCTTTTGTACAGGTGCTTTGGAAATGTAAACGAAAGATAAACATACAAATATATTTGGGTATGCTGGGCATATGGTTTTATGAATAGCAATTATCGGGAGGAAATTAGTTACCATGACCTTATTGAAGATCTCAGTTTTCTAAACAAAACAAACACCCGTTGCAAATGGCGGCTAAAGCCTTTGCCTATTTTATAATCAACCAGAAATAAGTTCTAAAAATATTTTGGAATTATGCAATATTAGTAGGTATTTTGGAATTTGTTTTATCCCATACATTCGATTCTGCTTGCGTATATTTTCTAATATTATTGCTATTGATTTAAATACAATAATTTTCGATGGAATATTGATATCTACCTATGAGGGGGACAACAAAAGAAATGCAGATTTGCAATTACATACAGGATTAATCGTTATAACGACGGCTTTCCGAGGACGCAGTAACATCTCCTCGAACGTTTAAATATAATAGGTACCTGCATATCTAAGTAATATGTTTCGTAAGTTAGAAGCAAGCAAGAATTGTTATCCATTGAATTGCTTTCTTTTTACGTAGTTTTCCTGTACTGATGGTTGAAACTTCTCTTTACATCTCGTATAGTGTGTCTTCATTTTGTTTGGTCCAAAGAGATGTGAATTGATCCATTGTAGTCATAAAATAGGCTTCGCTAAGTTTTTTTACCTGGATTCGAGCATTTTTTTTTAATTTATATTTTGAATGAAATTAAATTATATCAACTCACTTGGACCTGTTGAATGATGTGTGTATTTGAAGGTGGACTTGGTAAATGGAATGATAACCTAGATAAGAGAGGGTCATAGATGCACATATCAACGAACGACCGGCGAAATCATGTGGCCGCTTGCTTTTCGCCACCTTATGATTAAAAAAATTACATTAGTTGAAATATTATTCAGTCACTTCGTTCATCGCATCACCTATTCAATTTCTTTTATTGATAAGATGTCGACATTGCTCTCTTTGTGGTATTGATAGTGGATACTTGACTTAGGCAAAACATAGTCCAATTGCTCAATGTAAAATAGAAAAATAAAACAAATAACGGTTGTTTACTGTTTGAATGTAATGTAAATATCGGTACAGATAAAAAATAATATCGCAAAACCTGACTGGCGACATTTAAAAGCTCAAATAAAACCGTAAAAAGTAAAAATATAAAATAATTGTCTACAATTAATAACATACTATTATTCAGTTAATAAGTGGTAATATAAAATGAAAAATATTTTTTAATAATAAGGATAATCCGAGGTTATATTTTATATTGTCTGCATGTAGTTTTTTTTTTTTATAAAACAATATATCTAAAATACGGAAAGTCAAGTTCATGCCGATTATATTGTTGCTTGCTGATGATGAGAATTTTTTTAAATTTAAATTTATACTAAAAAAAATATCAGTGGAGCTTAACCATCGGATCGCTTATGTCAGAACTGTCGAGGAAACGGTTTTATTCAATCTTACTTCATACTAATATTATAAATGCGAATGTTTAGATGGATGTTTTGTTTAAAGGTATCTCTAGAACGGCTGAACGGATCTCGATGAAATTTGATATATATAGAACATAGTCTGGAAGAACACATAGGCTACTAATTATGTTTTTTTTAATACCGCGTGGACACAATCGCTGCCGACAGCTGGTAAAGACTTTTATTGTCACTGACCAATTGTAAAATTTATAAGTTTATGATTCAACTAGGCAACACATGATAATGAACGTAAAATAGTTTTTTGTCCTGTTTCTATTTTAATTATGTACGGAAATAATTATAAGCGTTAAAGCATTAAGCATATGCGAATAAATCTTAATAATATTATAAATGCGAATATTTGAATGGATGAATGTTTGTTACAAGGTATCTAGATCTCTATCTAGATTTAGAATGGCTTCATGGATCTTGTTGAAATTTGGCATAGATGTACAACATAGTCGGGAATATTTTTTTTTACTTTTCACGGACGGAGTCGCTGGCGACGGGTAGTTTAAAGTTAGTAAAAATTTAATGTAGTAATAATCTATTTTATGCGTACTCTTTTTTTAATTAGCATAAAGCGTTTAATAAAAAACGCTGTATAGTTTTGGTCACTTTTAATTTCTTCCTGGATTGAGTCGTAACAAGGCTGCATTTGCACTTTACGATATAAGTATTGAAGTTGTTTACCATTACCGGAAAAATATTGTAGCAGTTCACCTCGTTATATGACGATGTCATTTACATCAGCCTGTATAATGTTTATGTCAGTTTTGCACATTACAGGCTGTAGGTTCGTCCGCGCGGAATTAAAAAAAATTCCATGTAGCAATGTTATAATTTTTATGCCGATCAAATCTTATTTATATTTATAAATGCGAAAGTATAAATGGTTGTGGTTTGGGAGTTTGAACCTATATAATCGATCGAACCAATAGGAATTGTTTTTGATGCTATGGACGCAATTGGAACAATGTTCTTGTTAGGCTTACCGGCCTATAGATCTGTAGGCCAATAAGGTCATCGGGAAACATCGAAACAGTTATCAGTGTATGGAATTTGATAGATTAATATCTGAAATGGCGCATAGGCTTGCTAAGTTTTTTTTTTAATACGCGCGGATTAAGTTGCGGGCAAAGGCTCGTATAATTCTTCCATGTTTATTAAACCATTTACTTTATTTGCCTTGCTCTAAGAGCAAGACTGATTTTGTTACATGGCATTCAAGGCGTAAATACCACAATCCAGTTGTGTGGGTATTTGTTGCAAACATTAATTACAAGTTCTTAAGATCCTTAATTACACGGAAGTTAAAAAAGATATAATACGTTTACATTACAAGGTTAGTTAATTTATTCTTTAGTTTTAATATTATTTCACATGAATATTCAAATTCACATGTGCTTGCACGTGGCAAGCTTTAAAACTGCATATTTCGATATGTTGTTTACGTTTTCAATATTGTACAGTCAGCTGCATAAATATGTATACATTTAAACAGCTTCAATAATTAGTATACACCTTCGGTTTAAAAATGAGGTCAGTACGCGCTCATCAGATGCTTCCGACTATGATTACAAGTTATTGACGCATTCGTGCATACGTATTTTTCAAACAGAAGATCCATAAAAGTTTCTGAAGTTTTGGTTATGTATACATATTTATGGAGCTGACTGTACAGCAGAGTGTCAACATAAGAAGTATAATAGCACATATTTTGTATAACAATTTAAGGCCATTTTTAGTTGCAGAATATATTTAGTACAATGACTTTGCCTAGTCCATTTCTCTATAATCAAAGAGTCAGTCTGGCTTGTATGTGTTTCTGAAATTCATTACTAGTTATCACGGTTATTTTAGCTCTATTCATATGTTCGTTGATTTTTTGAGCTTGACTTTTGCTCACCAATAAAATTAATAGTAATTTTTGAATATTTTATCAATAATCCAACAATTTTATCTATGATTTATTCACGATTTCAAGGCTTTAAACAATACAAACATATTTTTAAAGCATTATTTCCTTTAAAGCGACAATCAATATCGTGATGTTAAAAAATGTTTGTCATCAGTAAAAAAACGTGACCTACAATTTTTTTTCGGTCGTTGACATTAACACGTAGACAATACCGGCTGTAGTTACCTACATATGTAGAAAAAAAAACCTTTTTCAACAGTTTTGATATTATAATAGAGACGACACGCTTTTTCCGAGACCTATTGACCGATATTGTAATTATTGTTAGCATTAAATTAATATTAACATAATTTTCTTTGTAACTAATACCGTATTGTTAAAGTTAATCTTACTAATATTATAAATACGATTGTGTGGATCGATGGCTGAGTGGATGAATGTTTGTTTGAAGTTATCTCCAGAATGGTTGCATGGATCTTGCTGAAATTTAGCATAGATGTAGAACATAGCCTGAAAGAAAACCTAGGCAACTAATTTTTAATTCAGCTCGGATAGAATCGCAGGCGATAGTTAGTTTTTCAATAAAAGTTTAACATTCACAATAGATGAGTGATCTACGTTAACTGTATTATAAAATGACATCGTATTACAAAGTGTCATGGTTTATTTTGCGTTGACAAGTTAGCCGTGTTTACCATTAACGGTGCTTCATGGCAACGTAACTTTCACCTTCATACAGCCAAGTTCAAGGAAAACTAGTCTTCGGTCATATAAATACAAGGCCGTTTATTCCTTGTACAATTCATACGGAAGTTAAACACGTGTAGAATTTACGGAAACTTTTATAAATCTTTTCTTTACTTTTATTAAATTATTTTCACGTCTTTTTCGATTTGGGTCAATTCGAAAAATGTCAATTCCAACTTTGGTCGACAGTATTATGTTAGTTATTTTTTATTTGTAACTTACGGTTGCCCGCGTCTTCGTCTTTTTACCACAATGTTTATAATGTTTTGGTTAACTTTACTATGAAAATATTACTCTTTAAGATTTGGGTTTCGGAATAGTAATTTCTATTTATTTCTAGATGCGTTTCAAATTTTACGATATTACATATAGACAATTTTATTTTATTATGTTTCTTATGTTTGCATACTCTTCAAAATTATATGTCTTTTATTTATGTATTAGGAAATCCGAAGTTCGAGTGACATCATTTGGATAAGGTCGTTGACCTTCCTTAAGAGGAGACAAAGAATAATTTAAGTAAATAATTTTATTTGCACTTTATAAAAGGCATGTGATGTGATAAATGATTTATTGCACTTGTCGATTTTCCCAGTAAAACTATATATTAGAAATATTTTCTTCACGTTTATATTCTGTTACAAAAAAAAACTTGAATATGTTTTATATTTTTAATATCATTAGATATAAACAATTTAATCGTTGTCATTTCGAGATAGTATCAAAAGTAAATAGAAAGGTTATTATGATTTCACTCATATGCTAAATAACATAGTATGCTTGAAACCAGTTAAATCCGGTATCTAGTAAAATGACAACATGCAATATAAATATCGTGTCACGTTTGATAAAAGTAAAATGGTGACTTTGTGAATTGTATCGATGGATTTAAATGTGATCGGATCCAGTGACGCGCTTCGGTGCGATTGGAAATGAATTAAAAATGATTGCTTTGAAATGTTTGGGATATCAAATTTAGTGTGGCGTAGTTTAACACGTACTAGCTGTCACACCTACTCCGTGCGTATGGAATAAAAAAAAACTTAATAAGTAGCATATATGTTCATCAAGATCCGTTGAGCCGTTCCAGAGATACCTTCTAAAACATCCAACTATCCATTCATCATCAGCTCACTATAGGTCCCCACCGAGGGGCTCGTAGCTACTCTAATTTAAGGGTGATTAGGCCATAGTCAACCACGCTGGCCTAGTGCGGGTTGGTTGACTTCACACATATCTTTGAATTTCTTCTCAAACATCGTGTGCAGGTTGCATCACGATGTTTTCCTTCACCGTAAGAACGTCGGATAAATGTACATATGTAAATCGGAAATCGAAAAACACATTTTTACATGGCGGGATTCGAACCCAGGACCTGCAGATTGCAAGTCAAGTGCTTGACCACTGAGCCACCGACGCTCTACCACTTACATTTCTAATAATAATTAAAAACTTTCGTATTTATAATATTAGTCATATAAGTAAGAAATATCCAAAGTTCTTATAAAATGGTCGTGGTTTTTATGTCGATATTATAAAATGAAATGGTTTTTTGATTTAATATTTTCCGACATTGCTTGATCACGGTAGTGTAAAAAAACGATTTTCTAGAATGAAGGAAAATAATTGAAAATCAATAAAGCTTTTTCCCAAAGTTACGTGAGGCATTGAAAATGTTATTTTCTGAGTTATATGTAACCTACATATAAAGTTATAAGAGCATTGTTAAAATGTAGGCTCATAAAAAACATTATTTCAAATGAAAAGTTTCCACGTGGGGTAAACTTACATACGAGTTTCCTCGTTGCAGTATTCTTGTAGTCGCACCAATCATCGTTCAGCTTCCCAACTCGTTAACAGTTGGCAACGAGGAAATGTAGCTCTACTTTACCCCGAGGGGTTTGCTTCACTTTGACTTTTATTTTATTTGCACCAGGGTTATCGACGTGTTTCTAAACTCCCCTTTGAGTGTTCCCTGAACGATATATTAAGTACGTGCTTTAGAAATTCACCTTTATTTGTATCGTTTGAGTTACAAACAAGAGGTGAATTTCTAAAGCACTTGCTTGATATGCAATCGTTGTTACGAAGTATGTTTTTTTAAAGGAAATTTTATTCCAAACTTATACAAAATTCGTCCGAATGTACGTGAGTGACTAGCCGTTTTTATATAAGTTTACTAGCTGTCACCCGCGACTCCGTCCGCGTGGATATATAAAAAGACTTAATATATAGATAAGTTAAATTAAAATCACCTCTTCAAGGTATAAATTCGAAAAAAAAAGAATAAATAGTATCCTATGTCCGTCTCCTGGCTTTAAACTACCTCTTCGCCAATTTTCAACCATATCTGTAAAGCCGTTCTTGATTTATAAATAGTGTAACTAACACGACTTTCTTTTATATATAGATTATAATGTCTCACGAAAGTTTGAATAATTTAAATTGTATTCTGCGATATAATTTAGAGATACACACTAAAGTATGAGTTTTAATATTCGACTGTCGAAAAATAGACAATTCTAAAGATTGTTTGGATGTATTTTCACTTTTATAGTATTTTTTGGGGAATGAATCTATATTCCTTTTTATTTGTTCCTTAAAACCATTATAAGGGTGCGTCGTCATTAAATTTCAAATATGTATTTGAAAAAGTCGTATATTTCTCAAATGACGTAATAATATCCTGGAACAGACCATTCACGTGTCAGCTTAATGTGTCAACACCTTTAGAATTGTTCGCTTCGCATTTTCACGTGCCTCTTCGGGCCATTAAAACTCCAGTAAATTACTTGCTTTGATCTTAAGTAAATACTGCAAAGCGTCTCGACTATGTAAGGAATTTCATTAAATTTTGGATCTTCACTTTATTTTGAATAATGTTACCTTTTTAACAACATGGCTTTCATAATGTGCAATATATTTCTCGTTGGAATTTCGTCAAAGGGATGGAGTAGAGTAAAGCCGTCTACACACCTTGAGCAGGTTAGCGGAGTCTTTAAAATACTACGGTCAGTCACTGTGGCTGTGTGACTCAGGTTTTTATGACGTAGTCGTTAGTTGTTCTTTTTCATATTACATTATTCACTAGTAATTTAAGTATTCATGTAGTCTTAAAAACTTAAAAAATAAAATAAAAAAATAGGTCAAGTAATATGGGTATGTTCCCTTATGTGCATAAAGAAACAATATTTATAAAAAATTATATACCTACGTTGATTAAATACGCTGCGGAGGAAAAAATACTAATGATGTATATTAAATGACCTTTGACACACAATCTATACGTGATCTTTAACCACAAATATCTTGTTATTAAAGACAACTGTCGCCCGCGACTCCGTCCGCGTGGAATGAAAAAAAAAACTTCATTAGTTCCCCGTAGTAATTCGAATATTTCACACCTTTAAAACCTTCCCTAGACCTGCACGAACGAACATTTCAAGACCAAGATAAGATAAAAATAAATATAAAAAACCGTTCTCGAGATTTAGCGAGACTAACGAACAGCAAATGATATATGCTATAGTAAAAACTATTACAAAATATATTTGCTCCATAAAATAATAAATAAATGTAAAAAAGAATTTAAGATACGTTAATAATCGTTCTAAGTTATAAACTAAGACCAATTCCAAAATAATTATTTAATTTGTAATTAAATAATTGTTGTAATGTAAATTAATTAATATTTAATTTGGTGTGTCATAAGTTCACAAGATTTTTTATAATAAGAGTTATTATATCTGTCTTTTGTTTCAGTGGTTACCGGATGTACTGATGGCATTGGAAAGCAGTACGCTCATGAGGTATGTAGTTAACTTTTTTATATTTTAATTAGTTGTCTCCCGCGAATCCGTCCGCGCAGATTAAAAAAAAACATAATTAGTAGCCTATCTGTTCTTCCAGGCTATGTTCTGTATGCCAAATTTCAGCGAGATCCGTAAAGCTGTTCTGGAGATACCTTCTAACAACATTCGCATTTATAATATTAGTAAGATAATACAATATTTATCGAAATAACAATGTAAACCAGTCAACAAAATAGATTTAGTTAGTAGAATTAATTTATTTTTAAATTCAGAGCGTACGGAGTAACGGGCGACAGCTAGTTAATAATAATCTTGCACATCTAGTGTTTTAATTAATAATATTCTTTAAAAGTCAACAAGTTTTTTTTATATATTACATATGCTATAATAATATTTACATATGCTTAAGTAGACTTTCGTATTTAAGCCTATTTCCTACTAATTTAAAAGGTTGTTGTTATTCAAGGTTTTTTAATTAAATAACCATTTATGCATGCCTTTTTTAATGTGTACGTATATGTTGACATATAAGATTGTCGTGACACAATGTTAGTTACCATACTACTCTTTGATTTTGATTTTTATGATTTTTTTATGTATATTAAGTAGATCTGTGAATCAGCTACTATCTTAATCCCCTACGGACGGAGTTGCGGGCTACAGCTAGTATTCGTATAATATTTGCGTAATGGGCCCTTGAATTACAGATAAAAATCTAATATGAGGGATTACACAAAATTAGTCCATTATCATTCAAATAAACATTAATATATAAAACGTACAAGTAGAAAGCATTAATGCAAGAGTTTAACAATAAACTGTCTAAGGAAATTATTAACATCCCCATTATCCTAAAGATCTTGTAAAACTAATGGATTACTTCTTAAAATTCTTTTTTAATAAAAATAATATCTTTTTACCTTTTTACACGTTAATACTTTTACTAACCATTTATGACTAGACTCAGCAATTTGTACGCATGAAAAAATATAAAACGGAACCGTCCAAGAAATTATATTTGCACATCATCTGAAAAGTAATTATAGAATAGCTGAGCGAAAGGCCTTTGAGATTTTCCTTTGAGAGCGGGAACATCATCAAGGGACCTTTTAACTGACACAGGTTTCATAAATATTCAAAGCGTTTGAGTTACGTGCCCACCGCAACTTATTTATTCAATATAATATTTAATAAACATTTACCGAAGTAAAAAGACTCTCATATCTTTCGTGCAATCAAATCTTGAGAAAAAACGAACATACTATATAACCGAACAACAACCTGCACATATCTGAAAAGAATTTCAAAGATATGTGTGAAGTCAACCAACCCGCACTTGGCCAGCGTGGTTGACTATGGCATAACAACGATTAACTTAGGGTAGGCTCCGAGCCCCTCGGTGGGGACGTATAGTGAGCTGATGATGATGATGATATAACCGAACTAGCTGTCGCCTGCAATTCCGTCCGCGAGGAGTTAAAAAAATTTAATAGTCTACCTCTATGCCAAGTTATACACGATATAACTCTCTATGGATCTCGTTCCATGCAGCTGTTTTGGAGATACCTTTAAACAAACACCCATCCATCCATCTAAACATTCGCATTTATATTAGTAAGATTAGTTGCACCTAGTGATTTCTTCCGTGTGGAATATTGCCTTTTAGTATTATTAAAATCAGTAATTTACTGGATAATAACTTTAACGAAGACATAGAAAATCCAATGTTTTCTTTGCAATAATAAATAAAATAATATTTGCTTCTAAATGCTGTATAAATTGCAAACAATAAATATTGAATATTATTAAACCAATACACCTTTGCTCCTTGTTAAACACGCTGTATAATATTGATCGAGCTATAATGTAAACAACGCTATTTTGCCTTTCCAGCAAATTTGAATACAATTCGTATTTAGATTTGTTTGTTCGTTTAATGGAGGCATGATGTGGCGATTTTTGTACCGTTTTCATACTTTACGATAGCCTTTGCCTTTTGCGTAAATAATTATATTTAAAGTGTTTTAATACGTAGTTTTTACTGCAGCACACAGAGACGTTTAATAGTAATATTTATCCTTAATCAACACTAACACAACTACACTTAAATACATTCTTATATATACCCCTATTCTTCCCTTCCATCCAAATACTGTCAAGTGTTATATTCACTATTTTCTTATTGATTTACTAATCTGCTTGTTAGTAGAGTTCCGTTATTTATCCTCAGAATATGACTTCAATAAAGTAGAGATAATATTTCAATATAAAACTTTGATATAATTGTGTGAAAATTTACAACCTTTATTCAACAAAGTCGTGAGGTTTCACAGACTAAACACAGGTATAAACATTTTTTTGTAATGATAATTTGAGGAATGACGATAGATGTAGATACTCGATGTGGAAACTCGAGGTGAAAGCGCATGTTTGTTTCAGCTGGCAAACCGCGGCTGCAAAATTGTACTGATCAGCCGCTCAATGGACAAACTACAGGCTACTGCTGAAGAACTTGGTAACTAAATACTAATTATTTGATAATTTCCACTTTTCATTTTTTAATAACACGATCAGTGCCAATAAGTTGCTAGTTCATTTTAAACAAAAGGCATTTATGGTTTTGGAAGACTTAAAATGTATAACATTATTGACCGTAAGGCTCTTGGTACACAGGGCAACGTAAATCTTGGAGACCCGGCGAGTTTAGTCTTTAAGTGACTAACGCAATACCATGTCACACCGAGAGTCGCTGACGTTTCTATCTGTCATTGCCAAAGACAGTTGTTTGAAACCTGTTTGCCATGATTGTTGTGAGAAAAGTCTCTTTTAAAGATAGCGGAGCAAATCTATAAATTTGACATGTAATTGCACTTCCTGTAATGATTAAATAGTCGACGCTATTCGACGATTCAACGTAGTTGACGGAACGCGAGACTCTATTCCCGCGACGCAACCATGCAATATTTTTCCCAACGGATTACGTTGGGTTATGTTCGAAGAGCCTTAAACATACTGTTTTATTTTACGACCGGTATATAGTGAATGAAGATTTGCTTAATTTTATTGTTATATTTATTTATTCATAAACTTTTTTCTCGTAGAAAAGACCTACGGCGTGACAACAAAGATCATACAAGCGGATTTCACCGAGGGCGAGGAAGTTTATGACAAAATTGAAAAAGAACTTGCAGACCTCGAGATTGGTACACTGATTAACAATGTGGGCACATCCTACACTTACCCGGAATTCTTCCTTGAAATACCCGATCTGTGAGCAAATAAGTTATTCACATTTACGTCTCTAGCACACACTGTCGCGAAAGCGAATACGTACCAAAGCGAACACTATTTACATATCGTATTTACAGTACATGGTTCGAATAGAGCAGGCGGTCACCTGATAGTGCGGACCGGCGGATCGGTTCGGATTGGCTTTCGCGGCTGTCTGCTTGTTTGATAATAACAATCAGTCGTTTCCTTGCATTTACAAAGGTGTCTTTGCCTAAACCGTAGATTCCACAGTCTAGATCCATACTGAATAAGATTTAATCATTTACTTTCATTCTCATTTTACTATTCCAATAAATTAAGTGTTACAGTGTATCGCTTAAGGGATGTAGCTTTCAAATATGAATAGTCGTTGAATTTTATAATCAGTATTTTCTTCGCTTTTAATCGTAATATCATAAATGCGAAAACGTTTAAATCTTCAATGCTTAAATTTTCCTATAAATCCTCACTACCTCATATATTAATATTTTTATTAAATTTAAAAAGAAAATCAACCGTTGAGAGTGCAAATGGAAGCAGTGCTGTAGGATATAGCACTCAAATAGCGCTGTGATAACAGTTCGTTAATACTCGACACTAGTATCCTCTTGCACCTGAAAGTTACACCGACGTGGAAATTTTTATAGAAAATATTTTCAAAGCCAGGTGGAGTATTTCCACCTTATAAGTGTTGGTGAATTGAATATTATTCGCGCTATCGTCGCCTTATTGAGCGAGCGTTATTTGTGGCGCTTCCCTTCCGATATTTCCAGCGCCTTACCTGCAATCTACTCTATCTTTACACCTTTGAGTCAAATAACAAATAATTTTAAAATGTTCTAGTAGTTGAGTGTGTTCAATTTTCCTTGTGGGATTAAACATTATAGAAGCCTTTAAGAATGTGCTTATTGTTTTAAATGTATTGTTTCATTGCTCATTTGTTTTGGGGTTCGTCATTATACTAGACAATAATATTTTAGTTAAACGATTAACTACAGGCGCCCTGAGTGAGATTTCTACATCGGCCTCTTATTTACCATGCCGCGTGAAGGGATTTAAAGCTTTAAATATGACTGTAGTTCGCAGACATGTGATCCTCTTTTTGCCTAGCGGCCCTGGGCGATCGCCTAATCGCGCCCTAACCTAAAGCCGGCCCTGTTAGTATTATTTATCCGTGATAATGCAAACATAATTGCTATTAATACAATTTAATAAAGCAAATAATAAGAATCTATTGTTGTACGCTAAGAGTGTAATCTCACAGTAAAGCATTACTAATAAAAGCAGGGATCTAATGATATGGGGTCATTACTTGGGTTACATTACAAATGTTAGGTATAGTTGATTATATTAATTAAAGTGGCTATCATCTCGGCATTACGAGACTACTGGGAGACGGATAGGCCCTAATTAAGATAGGACTTACCTACCGTACTTACTACTTAAACATTGTACTTTAGGGTCATAGTTGTTTAGCCGTGACATTTGCTTATCAACGTCAATTGAAGGTTCTCGAACACTTCAAATTCTTTTGTTTCATAATAATGATTTATTCAAATAGGAATTCGTTTATTTTTAATATTTTAAAATATTTTTTTAACACGTTGACGGACAGTAGGAACAAGCGAAGTTCGAAAATTGACACTATATGTTTTTGTGATTTTTAGAATGTTAGAAGTATAGTTTTACTCTTTCTGCTTAAATAAACTTAATTTTGATTAATTTAGTACCTTTAATTAGGTTGCGGCTATAACCGTCATGGCGCCAGCGGACTCTATACACTAAGTGATAGGACGATATATAACAGGTGAAATATGAACTTCAACCTAAAAAGATATTTTCAAAACACGACACTATGCTTCTACGTATACGCCAGTAAGTGCACATTTGTGCTGCTATAGCCGTAGTGTCTAAAAACGACCGTTTCGTTTTGGACGGCTATAGCAGTCATGCCACATTGTGAACTTCGCTTTGACGGCTATAGCCGCAATTGTCCGTCAACGTGTTAATAAAGGAGACGACACTAAATAATTAAAACTCATCATTTTTTTTTGGAATTCTTGAAATATTTACTTACACCCAGTTTATAGAAGTAAAACAAAAGTTGTAGTTATCTCGATGTTTTATATAATTCAGGATAATAAAATTAAGTTTTCAGACATCATCAGAGGTAGGCAGACACCCCGGAACTCTATTGGCGATTGCCAACCTCCACAATCGAGTTAACAGGAATTAACGCGACGTGTGTCGAGTCCCGTCGCCGCTGTTTTTTGTCGAAAATTGACCAGATCTTTGAATTTCTTTTATATCCATCAGGAATAAAACCGTGGATACCATAATGAAGACTAACTGCCTGCCTGTGACTCGTATGACCAGTATCGTGATGCCCGGAATGACGAAGCGAGGAAAGGGTGTGATTGTTAACATCGGTTCCGCGTCTTCCATGATCCCAAGCCCCCTGCTCACTGTATACGCTGCTTCTAAGGTAAGAATCCAACAGATTAAATCAAATATTTGCTCAAAACAATCGACGAACATTAGTTTTACGAGATTCCAAATAATAAAGTGAAATCCCACGAGTTTTAACGAGGTTCTCTAAAGAGAACAAATACTAAAGTAGACAATGTCTGTAGTAAAAAATACGTTAAGTTAATTTTTACAAAAAACAAAAGAAGGAAGGAGGAATATCAAATAAGACATCACGAGTTTTTGATTTCTGAACGGGTCCTGTAAATTTAATATAATTGGGTAAATGGAAAAGGGATAGTCCAAAAACCTCACGACATATCACTAAAAGAGGCATAGGGGTCAAACAGTTTCTAAAAAACATCACGTGATTTTTACTACGTGAAATAGATGACTTCTAAGGTTTTGGCCGAAGGTATTCTGAGTATTTTTGTAACCTCTTTGAAAAGCTTTTCACTAATATCACAATGACCAATACAGAATAGTTTATCTTTTGTTAGTGATCACTGGAAATTGGTCGTGAAAATTTTGATTTAAATAATCCTAGTTTTCGTTTTATGTGGCAACATACAAAAATCAGATACCAGATCTCTTTAGACCAGTAGCTTTATTAACTTCGTCGCCAAATTAGGTTACAGTGATATTTGAACTGGCCCTATTTATGTATTTTCATTGATTTGATCGTGTTATGAGAATACCTGTTTTATGCTTTAAAGTATAAAACTACCATTTCTTTGTCTATTTGATTACATGACTGGAATGGCTAATGGCAAATTCATTTGAGGTAAGAGATATGGGATGGTCTCTGTTGTGAATGCTTTCTGTAAAACCTTCCTACCTACCTTCCTCTTCGATGTCTTCTCTTTTAGTTTCGTGTTTATCGATGTTTACAGCCCTTTTAGGATGCGAAGGGCCTCAGTGTTCTCCAACGTAAGTATTACCAGTTAGTAAAATTATATTATTCCCTTGCAGGCTTACGTTGACAAGTTCTCCGAGGGTATTAATATGGAGTATAGCAAACATGGTATTATTGTACAATGCGTGTTACCCGGTTTCGTCTGCTCGAATATGTCAGGGATTCGTCGTAGCTCTTTCCTAGCACCAACCGCTAAACAATTTGTCAATTCCGCAATCAGACTGGTGGGAACGACAAGTCGCACAAATGGATATTTACCACACGCATTATTCGTGAAGACATTAAACACACTTTACGCGCTAACTGGACCCTTCGCGATCTGGCTTGTCACTCGATCTATGGAAAACAGCCGGAGAAAAGCATTGAAGAAGTATAAACAAAAATAATTCTATTAACTAAACGTATAGTGTTATAAGCAAAATATGATCTCTAATTGACCTTGTCTACGTTTGAAAAACAAAACACGATTGTATCAATTAGTATGACAAAGTATTTTACGCACACATTTTTAAGTTTCAGTAATTTTTTAAGCTTCCCTACCTCTAAAGGAAAATAACTGAATCCTTATAGGATCACTTTGTTGTCCGTCTGTCTGTCAAGATCCTTATTTAATGTTTATATCCTAGTAAATGAAAAGTAATTTTAAAGCAAAAATACCACTTTTATGTTTAAATTACATTAAAATGGTTCTTCTAAACTATCTTTTTTGTGTTAGTCAAAGTTGATTAGAGATCAGTTTTGTGGTACTAATAAATGTGTATTATATATTTCCTCTATATATAAAATAATACATATACATAACTTGTGTAGATCTTTGAAAAGCCGGAAATATTTTGCATTAAAATACGTCGATTTGATATCCTTTAATTTCTGTTATAATTAATTTATTTTGTTCTAAATAGTTTCCGCATTTTATTTCCGGATTAGATTTGAATTCTTTAAACATTTTCTCATTTAATTAATAAACATTATAATTTATATTAAAACGGCTAAATACGTAATTCGTCTGTTGCCGCCAACGGACAAATAAACGTGAGTGTTTAGCCGTTTTTATATAAGTTTATTATAATGTCTCACGAAAGTTTGAATAATTTAATAACATTCAAATTATTATTCAAAGTCATTTTTTAAAATAAAATACTATTGTACTCGGAAATCTCACGCGAAGCGTTCAAAGTTTACAATTTAAACCTTCAAGTCGATATTACACGACTAAATTATGTATGTCATGGTTTATACTACGATAACTTATTATTTTTACAAATATTTATAATAAAAAAAAACTTAAATACTACGAAAATCTAGTAAATTTTATCATCCATCTGTCGATTCATCAGGTTACTATACGTCCCCATTGTGGGGTTCGGAGTCTACCCTCATGGGTGACTACGCCTTAGCCAACTACGCTCTCCCAGTGCGGGTTGACTTCACAAATATCTTTGAATTTCTGCCCAGATATGTGCAGGTTGCATCACGATGTTTTCCTTCACAGTAAGAACGTCGGAATATATGTACATATGTCAATCGAAAATCGAAAAACACATTGGTACATGGTCGGATTCGAACCCAGGACCTATAGATTATAAGTCAAGTGCTTAACCCACTGAGCCACCGACGCTCTGTCTGTCAATTAATGAAACAAAAATGTTTAAAGGATTCAAATAATTATAAATAGTTTTTCTTTTTCCCGCAAAGCTTGAATAGCTGTTATAAATGTGTAGACGCATGCTTGGACTATCTCTATTGCATGAAATAATTCACTTTCTAATACCAAAGATGTTATTTTTTGTGTAAAAAGTGTAATTAATATCTAGTACATATAAGTTACAATTAAGCAGGCTGTGCTTATTCCTCGCATTTTTCCTATTTTTAAGTTTTCTACTTGGAGGATTAGGGGGGTGTTTGAACTAAGGTTTCAAGTTATCTGGAATTAGTTATAAAACTGCCAAAGTGGTTGTTTAGTTTTATTTTTAATGGAGTGATTTTTCAATTTTATAGCAGACTTTATTAAATAATTTAAGTTTTTAAGTAGAAAGGAAGTAGTAAAGGCCGTATTATAATTTATTTAAATGTTTTTTTTTAGTTTAATTTAATATCTTGCCTAATTTTGAGGTTTTTTCTTATTTTGCCATATAATTTGCGTAAGCATATATATGAATATTTTAATAAGTATATAATGACGTAATTAGAAATATGTTTCGGAAATTTTAAGCTCATCTATTTAAAAAAAATCAGTTAAATGTTTCAAACAATCTAAATGTATAACAAAAATGGCCATAGATATTGTAGATTAAAAAAAATATTTTCAATGTCAAGATTTCTATTAAAATAAAAGTCAGTTTCCACTAGCAAAATATAAGTAGAAAAACATATTGTTATCACATTTAATTCAAAAAGAATGAGTGAGATGACAATATGTTTTTAAATAACTTACTTTCATGACGTAATTTCGTTTATTAAAAGTAACATGGATGTGGATAATGAATAATTATGTAGATATTAAATATGCGCTGTCTTCATAAATATTTGGTATTGGAATTTGTGATTAAACACCTAGCACTTTGGTTGGTTTTAGAATAAGCTGGACTGGTTATTTGATAAGGATATGTCGACAGTGCATTAGTATGGGAATTGTAGAATAACAATGTAAAAAATAAAATGCTTTGGCAAATTTGTGTTTTATTCATTTTTATTATTTCGCTGAAAATATGCTTTATTTTTGTCACAATATAAACAAGGGTGTCTAAACGCTAAAATGTTGAGCATAAAAAAATAACTAACAAATGTAAAAACAAAGAACTAATTAAATTAAATGAATACATATAATTTTTATTATTATATTAAGATTGCATATCTTATGAACATATTCAATGCACATTTTAACAGTGGTAGAGCCCGCTTTAACATCTTCGTACGAATTGGCCCGGCTCGCCCGGTGAATACCACGACCACACAGAAGACAGGAGTCCAGTGGAAGCAATTTCGCGTTTCCTCTGATGAGTGTGCATCCCGTGGGCCAAATTTAGTACTCTTTCCCTCCCCACCCTTTTTTTTATAAGGAAAGGATGGGAAGTGTAATTGAACTTTCTGGGTGAGAGGATGCATTTGAAGGGAAAACATTTTCTTTCCGTGCATCCTCTCCGACGATTAAAGGTAGGCAACGCATATCCAATTGCATATGTCGATGGCCACCGGTCACTACGCTATTTCAGCGATTTTAAGTGGCCACCTTATAACATAAAAAAAAACATTTGTTCAAAGCGTTTTGTATATAGCTAAATTACAATTGTGTACAGAAGAGTTAAATTACATTTGTACAGACGTGGTGATGGTTTAAGTAAGTATATGTAATTACAGCAAATGCTGAAAAGATGTTTCGATTTTTTTTTATTAATTTTTAAACGTTTTTCTTCCAGGAAAGGAAAATTGCATGTTTCAAATGCTTGAAGTGTGAAATAATCAAACTGTCTGCTAGCTTTAAACAAATAAGGAAAAAAATTGTTTCTGTTATTAACAATTTTATATTATTAAATATTATTTATTTTATTTATTTTTTTCTTTCAAAATAGCTTAAACTATACTATAGAAATAAAACCTTACCGTCACGAAATTCAATATTACACGTACACTATTAATAATACAAAGTAATTCATTTTGATTGATGTTTTGAAATGTATTACCCTAAAAACTATATTGACTTAATAACACAGACAAAAAAAACTAAAAAAAAAACATACAGGCGAATTGATAACCTACTTTTTGAAGTCGGCTAATAAAAGAGGACACGTGTATTTAAAATTGTTTATTCCTTATTGCTAATAAAATCTAATACACACCCTGTTCACAATAAATTCGAGTACTCAATTTACATATTTGTTTTTCCCCTTGTAAGTTAATTACGTGCATTAACAATTCAACGCAGGAGATTTGCCGCGCGTTTTTTTATTTTGTCATGGTAATTACATTTGTACCGACCAGGACTAAGGGTTTTTAAGGTCAAAGACAGTTATTGCAGCGAATAATAAAATTTACAATTTCGGTAGTCATTTTAAAAAATAGCCAACGTTTGAAAATAATTTGTATAAAAAAAATTGCAAATTCTGTGTATTTTTTTGGAAATTTAATTTTATTTCTATCATAATTAACATTGGTGACTATATAGAACCGAAATTCAAAACTATTGAATGTTTTGGTTCAGGTTCAGAAAGTGTGGAGGTGTATAAAAAGGGATATAGATGAGAGAAAGCGACGTGTTCCTGATCATGCTATACGTAAATGGGTAATCTCTACCTACCCCTATAAGAGCGTACTTACACTACTGTCAACATTCACATTTTCCCATCATTTTTTTACTAAACGCTGGCTGGTTTTTTTTATCGAAAATAAAAAAAAAAGTTGTGTTTAGTCTATGATTGACTTTTATCTGTGACAACTTTACCAATGACATTTGACAAATGACATGAAAACAACATGAAGAAAATTAAAAATAAAGGCTAATTTATTAAACAAATACAATATTCAAAATGAAAATTTTACCATAACCATGAGTAAACATTTTAGATCGAAGACTTCAAAGAAAAATGTTCACAGTTCACAGGAAGTTTGTGTAAATCTAAATCAGGTATTAGTCGTGGTTGCAACTATAGTAATTCTGCTAATTTTATGGCTAATCGTGTGTCATGTAGTGGATGGAAGATAAAGTTTATCGAAGAAAGGAATTAACTGTCCCATAACTGGGACTTAGTCATTATTGTGATTAACCTTATATTTTGATGGATTACAAATTGTCAACACAAAGTGGTAACCAAGTTTTATCACTTGAATGGAAGAACGTTAAAAATGTAGACTCATAAAACATTGTATAATAAAATGAAATCAATCGGAAATATAAATTTTATTTGACTCGTGAGTTATGTTTTAAAATGATGTGTATTTTAATATATACAGTATTAAGTTATATTTTCTTTACTTTTGCCTAAACACATTATTATCTGTATGCCGAAACGTTGCTGATGGCCTAATGACGTCACGCATTAACTTACGGTACTATAAAAAGTGCGCGAGTCACAGTGGGATGATCAGCAAACCGCACCGTTAATATTGTTTTAAACGTATACATATATATCTTGGTTCAAATACTAGTTTCATAAGTACAGTGCTAACTTCTGTTGCTCAGAAACTTGTTCCATGATTTTAGGGATAATCTTACTAATATAAATGCGAATGTCTGGATGGATGAATGGATGGTTGGATGTCCGTTTGTAGGTATCTCCGGCAAGGCTTTACAGATCTTGATGAAATTTGGCATATATTAGAACATAGTCTGGAAGAACACATAGGCTCACTTAGCTTTATAGGGCAGAGTCGCGGGCGACAGCTAGCGAGTCATAAAACTATAGGTACCATGACAATACATTTTATAAGAACAAAAAACTGCTGCATGCAAGCTACAATTAAACAAATTAATTCTAAACATACGTTTTCGAGCAAATTGTGGGGGACCGCATATTTTGAAAATACCACAGACCCAAATGAAAACGTAATTGCAATCCTTGTTTTAGCGCTTCGCCTACATTTAAAATGCGGAACGCTTGTTAATATTATCAAAGGGGATGGTTTTATACATGTCTATAAAGCTTGCGAAAATTGTCAGCCGCAATAAATATTCACACATGTTCAGACGAGGATTTATATTTAAAACCATTTCCTTGATATCCAGTGAAATATAATTTTAAACTCACAATACAAGTAGGTCGAAAACTTGTTAAAGCATTGCATCTTATTAATATTATAAATTGCGAATGTTTGAATGCATAGATGTTAAAATACCTTCTCCAGAACGGCTGCATGGTTCTCGCTATTTGGTATAGATGTAGAACATAGTCTGGAACACAAAGATTACTAGTTATGTTTTTTTTAATTCCACGCAGGTGACAGCTAGTATTTTCTAAATTATTTATTTACTGTGACGAATTAATTTGTGAATATCAAAATTGTTGCTTAATTTTATGTCTTTTTAATTATCTGATATAAATTGTTTGTAGTTTTAACTTTACATGCGTAAAACGTGTTATAAACTCGATTATGACTGCAACATCACGTTCTCGTGACTTTTAGTGGAAATTTTAATTAATCTTCCGACGGGTTTTTAATTTTCGATGCAATATCAACGTGTACTTGAACGAAATTGAATTTTCATCCCCATTTTAATCGGCGTGTCCTGTAACTGGTTTTGTAATATGGAATATTTACTATTTTTACACAGAAATTAATAACATTCGAAGGTACTTAAGTTACTGAAATCTACAGTAAGTGCCTCCCTTAGTGGCCATCGTGTCATGACTGATATTATTACTCGTGAATATTTGCTATAGTTGAATAATGCCTCTTCCTTTTTAGTTTGCAAATTATATTATTGAAGAATAAACAGATATATTTTATTTGTTTGTCTACAAATAGTTTCTATTTATTAATATACGTATAAGCAAAGATTATATTTTAATACTAGCTGTCGCCCGTAACTCCGTCCGCGCGGGATAAACAAAAGAAAGCCTATGTGTTCTTCCAGACTATGTTCCAGTCCATAGGTACTATCCAGAGATAGGTCCAGTCGTTCTAGAGATACCTTCAAACAAACATCTATCTATCTAAACATTTGCATTTATAATATTAGTAAGATTGTCCCACTCTTACTTTATCATTTGGAGTGAAAACTTGATGAAAATTGTTGAGTCTATTTATTGCGCACTTCGTCTTCATTCAAAGGCGTCGTAATACCTCCGTCTGAGATGCAATTTAGCTTAAATGCACTTTTGCTCAGTCCAATATGTTACATTGTACAGTTATATTAGAAACTAGTGAATGCCTGTTACTTCGTCAGCGTGGAATTAAAAAAGTTGCTCCCGCACACATAAGCTAGGCAGCCACGTGACGGAACTTACTGGAAGGCTCTAGTAAAAGTCCCGTCAAAATCGGTGAAGCTGCTTCGGTGATTACCCGGATTTCGCGGACAGATAGGCAAACATTCAAAAATCCCTTTTCGATATAACGTAGAGCGTAGACACTCCAATTTTATTCAACCACGCAAACTCAGTGCATCTTGTTTTATTTCAAAAATATCTTTGAATCAATATTACTTTTAAAAATATGAAATATGTGATTTGAAAATTGACCTACAACATACAAGTGAAGTATGTAACCCTTGAGCCATCGACGCTGCATTACGTAATATGGTGATAGTCAAATGTTTACAAACATCTGAATATATCCAAATACACGGTGAATCATAAATTCGTTAGAATGTTAGGTGGAAACAATTGAAGTCACAAAAGTGTGTAAAGTAAACCAATCGTTGTATAAAATGTATATTTAATGTAGCAACAATAGCAATAATACGACCCACAGCTGGCCGGTTCACGTTTTGCATTGTAATATATGTAAATTGAGAATCGAACACGGGCAAATTGAAATGGTCGCTGGGAGACTTCGATAACATGGATACCAATTAACACATAAGTTTATATAAAGACACCGAGAATTTTTTACATCAAAATGTTTGCCATAAAGACTATCCCCGGAACATATATTAAAAGGATGGGAAGTGGAAGTTTACTTTCCGGTTGAGAGGATGCATGGGAAGGAAAATATTTTCTTTCTGTGCATCCTCTCCTCCTTCAATTAAA